GCTATAGCAATCGACAACGTTACTTATATTCGTATGTGAGTAGGGTTTCGAGACTACCAGTAAATCAGTACCCTACTCACATACTCGCATAAGGTCATACAACCTCTAAGCAGAACAGTGTTCTTCATGATGAGTTGTGAGGCCTACTCATTCGTCGGTTGTAGTAGCAAATATGACTTGGTCAAGATTGAATAGGCCGACGTCTGCTTCGTTTTTGTGGAAAAATGCGACAGTTCCGCTGAAAATGATTTTGTGAAGAGCTGTAAAAGCGACAGGCTTTGGCTGGGCTGTACTTGTTGAGCTTACTTCCATTTCGAGTGAAAGTGTTGGGTGAACAGATTCCGAAGTCGGTTCCACCAAAAAGACGACGGCGGATTCCTCTTGACCAGCTGGAAGATTCATGCTGATGCTGTTTCCGAGGCAATCTCCTTCGATTCCGGTGAAAAGGTGTTAAGCTTTCGTCCGTCATGAGACGGACATCATCAGAGCAAGGTATCATGGTCACAACAAAATTCAAGCTAACTTACCGGCAAATCTCTAAAAAGTGGTATATATACTCTACATCTGGCTTCTTTGATCAAGTATAAAGTGATTTGTTTATTTAAGGTCATATGTCAACTTCGATGTTTGTGAGTGTGTCTGTTTCTGTATGTGTATGTGCCTGTTTGTGAATATTCTTGACTCGTTAGGTTGAATTTTGTTGTGACGATGTTACCTCGCTCTGATGACGTCCGTCATGTGACGGACGAGAGCTTACCACCTTTTCACCGGAATCGAACGTGATTGCCTCGGACACAGCGTCAGCATGAATCTTCCAGCTGGTCAAGAGGAATCGGCCGTCGTCTTCTGGTGGAACCGACCTTCGAATCTTTTCACCCCACACTTTCACTCGAAATGGAAGTAAGCTCAACAATTATGAAACAAGCGACTCCTCGAAACCCACCTTTTCTGGCCTGTACTTGGCAGGAAAACACATGAGCGGGTGTGCGGACAAGCGGCCGGAGCACAATGAGACTGGGCCTGGCTCGGACAGGTCAGTAGGGCCGGGCCAATACTGACGAGGACTAGTGCAAGTCCATCCGGCCCGGCTGGGCATCGAGACGTTGAGATGGACGCTGTGATTTGCCATAAACCGGCAAGATAGACATTTTATTTGGCCTAAATTGGATTTGCTGTAAAGATGGAGAGGCGAATTGAACATTCTGACCTCTACAGTCGGTTGCCTAGGCTTGGCTACGAAACTTTTCGGCTCGTTCGTCTCCTGTTAGGAATGTTCTCGTCAATTTGCCCCATAAAGGCTGACTGGCCAGAGCGATATAACTTGGCCATTGACTGATGTACCGGCTGACTCCGGCTAAGATTGCAAGAAAGTACGAAGTAGAGACATTAAAATGGCTGCAAACAGTGAAAAAGGCGTGTTTTTGCTTGATGCCCTTGAACCATCAGTCCAGATTCTGTCAAGTCGAATCGTCAACTGTTCTTCAACTTTTGGCTCTTGGCCGCTTTCTTTTTATCGGCTTCCCTGTCCTCGTCAGTTTCTCACTTTGGCCCGTCCACTCACACCCATCGTCTCGAAAGGAATCGGCTGCCGTTTCTCTCTCTCTCTCTCTCTCTATTGACCAGAAACGGACGATTTACACCCGGTCTGTATGAAACAGGCCAACCAGATTGCATCCCAGTTGAGGGATGCTGCGACCGTCTCACCCCCAGTACAGCTCACTCTCGCCAACCCACAGACGTACGTTTATGCTCGAGTCGAAGCCACTTCACAGCAAGGCTGGAATAGCACATTTTTTTAAATATACAGCCTTATCAACCTAATTTTATCTTTTCCCATTCTCAGCCTGACAGCAGAACTGCCGTTGCCTCCTCTTCACACCCACACACCTACACACACACACACTTGCATTGCGTTGCTGGGCTGCAGTACAACAGACTACCCACTACACTACAGGGTTATTGTGGTTCATTTACACACTCTTCCGCTGCCTCCAGGATAATCGATAGGTCACGTGTCATACCAATGCATACGAAAGGGGTCCACAATAGGAGATCAAAAGCGATGTGGCGAGTTGGTAAATGACATGAGAAGATTTTGAAGGTGGAGAAGAGCAGAAGAGCCAATATTATTTTTCGTGTATGAGTAGAGTTTCGAGACTACCAGTAAATCAGTAGTATGAGATGTTTTCACCCAATTTCGTTTAAGGGGATGAAGGACTGGTAGAATAAGAATTTTCCCACAAACGATATGAGTAGAGCTGACGTTTCCATTGAATTTCACATTGCCTTGCTTTCCCAAAAGTTGTTCTCATCAATATTACACCATAATTGTATCATTACAGTATGATAACGCATATTAATCAGCTTGCATATCAAATTTTAAGTAGACACATCGGGACATATTAATTTTCGATGTGATTACTTTAGGAAATTATCAGTTACTCTTGAATAGGGACATTATTTGCTATTTGGATAATCTTAGAAAGTTTAGAAAAATACTTATTGCGAATTTAAACAACAGGCAGTCTGGCTTGTCTGTCCTGTGACCCACTGGCAGCCTTGACTGTATCATGAATGGAACAAGTAATGTTACTTTATAGACATTGTTTGACCTTGTTTTCGCCACTCGGTCAAATTGGTAGGAAGACTTAGAGGAACTCACCTTGTCTGGAGTCCATTGTATGCATCATCATTTCCAGAGTAGGACCGTGGACGTGGTACATTCCCATCGTCAGTGAGTCTCACCATTCGTAGCCCCATATTACAACTCGTCAAAAAGACAAGTGAAGCAACGAAAGGAGACTGCGACCACACAAAAGGCGACACCATCTTGGTCTTCATACCTTCATTATCATATTATTTGCACGTTTTAGGTTCCAAATGAGCTGCAGGTGCTGATGGGACGGTGCGTCTGAGCCATTGAAAGCAAATGTTATTTTCATTGTTTAAGTCATTCAAGACAAGCCAGACTAGTTAAAGAGTTCTAGTCAATCCAGGCCGTGAATGTTGATGAATAAATGAATTTCTATTATCATATATGCCAAATAGCAGGCTCCACTTCTCGCTCATCAGAGCTGCCGTGTGACCCGGACTGTCAAAACCCGGATTCTGAACCAATTGAGTCATGAATTCACGCCTCGAAGGGCTCCCCTGCCGGCCTAATGCATGTTCCAGAGGGGGATGTTGTGAGGTCCCCGGGGCTTCCTTTGGACCCTCATAATCGAGGTTCGAGTCCGGCTGAGGCTGGTTCGGAGATCCAGGTGTGGACAAGGCTACCATCTGGTTAAAAAGAAGACAGCCTTCAATGCAGGCCTTCTCTTCGGCTCATCGTGGCTTGAATAGCTGTCCTTTTCTTCATGCACAAAGAGTCTATCCTGTTACAGACACGGGTTTCCAATTTCCTGGACTCAGGGACCCTTGTATTGGACAACAATAGAACACCGTTTTGGGCTGCTCACTAGCTCTGGGAAGATTCATTAGATTAACGAAGTGTCTTCCTTTAAACCTGTACTTTCTCGACTCGAACCCGCTTGGGCTGTGAGGGGTGTGAGGAGACTAAGAGAAGTTTGCGAAGAAAAGTTTGGTCTCGAAGAATCTATTGTTTCATAATTGTTGAGCTTACTTCCGCTTCGGCGGATTCCTTTTGACCAGCTGTCGATTGACTTTGCTGGAAGATTCATGCTGACGCTGTTTCCGAAGCAATCTCCTTCGATTCCGGTGAAAAGGTGCTAAGCTTTCGTCCGTCATTTGACAAACGTCATCAAAGCAAGGTATCATCGTCACAGCAAAATTCAAGCTAACGAGTTAAGAAAACTGCAATCGACAGCTGGTCAAGTGGAATCCGCCGTCGTCTTCTGGTGGAACCGCCCTTCGAATCTCTTCACCCAACACTTTCACTCGAAATGGAAGTAACCTCAACAATGGAGAGAAGTTGGTCTCAAAATTCTGCATTATTTTCCATTCATTGTGATTTGATCGACTGTCTCCTCTGGTAACATTTTAGCATAAGTTGGGCATATTCGCAAAATTTGCAGATTTTGCACTTAGCTTAACTAAAACACAATTCTTGCTTTTGCACCTTTATTATTTTTTTGAGTGCTGTATACTGCACGTATTACATGGACCTCTGGAGCTTAGGTGGGTTTTTAAAATTTCTTTCCATTTAACTATGCAAAATGCTTTTAGTTTTTATTACTTACTCTTACTAGATTTATATTATAGTATGAATGCTTCAATCCCTACTCTTTCTGTATATATTTGTATTCTCATGCTTTTCTTATTTTCTTAACATTTCTGTCTAGCATACAGTTAAATTCCATTCATTCTCCCTAGTCTCCAACTTATCGTATAAACTTTAGACGAATTTCCATCGTTAGACTATATCTTTTGTTTAACAAAATATTTTATGCTTGTTCATATTCAAGGCATTATTTCTTCTTCTACCTCGTAAATCATAATTCATTATTCGCTTGCTTTCTCCTAACACTTCGCATGCCTCCTATTGCTCTTTAAAGTCATTTATTACGTTTCAAAGAAGTATATTTCTGGCGAATTTTGCTCTTAATCTGATTGCCTATGCCTGCCGTATGCATTCTGACATCGAAACAATCAAAATAATCCTGACATCAAACCATGTCTCAACTTTTTTTGTCTATTTCGTCGTATAACTTGCGACCTTATTTATCTCAGATTTTCTCGCTCATGAGGAAATACTTGTTACTGTGCCCAATTATTACTCCTTAAGTTACTTTCAGCGGAAATGTTTTCGAAATATCCATTTGTAACTATATTTCACATATGATTTTGATATATTGATAGAGCTAATATTGCTAGGAAGGCTTTTATTTCGTGTTAAAGTACTTGATGATCTAACCAAGAAATGAAGATGAATTCCCGTTGATCCGCAGGATCTTTATTAACTAAACGTTTGTATATATCTAGCAATAATAATAGTATTATGGCAATATAGCTGCATTCGCTGTGGTGTGCAAGTGTTTGTAGGTCTGTCTTAATAGCAGTAGGCGGCTGATTCCCGTTGATAGGATTTGTTTGATATCAAAATTACGATCAGATTGAATCAGTCAAATAGATATCCTTCTTCATTTCGAAGGAAACCAAGCTGGGCTTTTGTCTCTTATGCCATGTGGTAGACATTTCCAGAATCCAATTTAATTCTTGTTACTACGTCAAAACAATATTTAGACAACAGGGTAAAATGGCTCTGCACTACAACCATAAAATAATTTCATAAATAATGAATTCTAAATCCCTTATGAGCATGATGCAAAACAATGGCCTAGTCGTTCATATTTCGGCCAATGTTGATAAAATAACAATTAAAACCCTCTGAATGAAGTAGGCATGATGCTCGATATGAGTATCTTTCGGAATGATCAGTAATAATTTATGGTGAATTTATTAGAATAAGTGAATTTATTCTGGTTTTCTCCTACCTTCTTATTCTTAAATAAGAATAAGAATTTCAATCATACTAGGGCCAATAAGACGAGGGAGGAAAGGTAGTTGAATTAACCAAAAATTATATGAGAAAGCCTTATTTTGGTATTTCATTGCTATTTTGTTTAAGGTTGTATTTCATTTCACATAGCCTTGCTTTCCCAGAAGGGGTTCGTAACTGCAGTTTACCCTAGATGAGAACAACTTTTGGGAAAGCTGAGATGGAAACTTCAGCTCAACTCATATCATTGCGGAAAAATTCAACTACCAGTCTTTATTGTGTTAAACGGAATAGGGTGGACACAACTCTTAAATATGATTTACTGGTAGTCTCTAGGACCTACTCAATACTGAATTTCTTTTAGCCTTGCATCTCAAAATGTATTATCATCCAGATACTCTTATTACAGATTTAATAATAGTCTAGCATCCCTACTTTCTGTCAATATAAGTAGCATAGTATATTTAAATTACAAAACACACGTTTTTTTCGTAAGTGAGTGGGTTTACGAGAATACAAACCCGCCTATAATATATCTTCGAGAGGCCTGGTCGTCTTAGCGATTCACATCTGCCCTGTGACCAAGAGGCGCTCAAAGCAATGTGGTGTAGTGGTAACACGTCACAATTCTAGGCTAAACTATGACGATTCGGATTCGATTTCCGCTAAGAGTGCGAGGCCAATGGTGTAGTCCATAGGGAATAAGAATACCTAATGTGAAGCACAGTTAAATAAACTTTAGTTGAAGTGTCAGGACTAGCCATATGATTGTGGGAAATATTCAGCTACCAATCCTCCCTTTTCTTACGCGAAATTGGGTGACTGTAGCTCTAATTCAAGATTTAATTTTAGCCTTTCTAACTTATTTATCCCGAAAATAAGTAGTTATTACTAAACCTTTTACCGGTCCTCCGGACATTCACTGTATAGCACAATCTGTTGGTTTGATGGCCTCTAAAATTTTGTGTTTTGTCGTAGCCATATTACAATGAGTGAAACGACAAGTTTGACCTTATTCTACTCCATATAAACTTTTGCCTGTATTCCAATTACTTTCCTCTTTGAATCATACGTCTTCAACAGACACTTTGTGTTTAGCCAACCTCCATTGAAATGAACTACCGGTCATTTCAGCACAAACATGATCACATAATTTTATATCTTCCTAAAAGGTCGCCTAACTGAAAATAGTTTCATAGTTTTTTCCATGGCACATGAAAAAACTCTCCTTATTTTCGTCCCTACAGTATTCTTTGTCTGGAAATGCCTTCCTTATTAATGGGACATTAGTTTCAATCAAGCATAGTAAACACTAATTTCTACATAATTTTAGTTTAAGCTTATTGAACCCATTCTCACAATGGATAATCTAATACTCTGAATAATCAGTGATTTTACGAGGCCGACCTTCGCGTTGTAACTATGGTTGGACAAGAAGTTAAGGATAACATATGCTCGCTTCATATTTACCTCCATAACTAGCTATTTTCCTGCTCTGATAACATTAATTTTCAACAATGGAAAACAATTATTCTTGTATAATTGAATTATGAACTTAATTATTAGCAGGAAATGATCTCATTTTTCTTTATTATGCTGCCAAATTAAAAATCATAATCCAGATATCTAATTAACAATTTAGGAGCAACTTTTACTTCTCAAGCGTTGCTTTATTCTTGGCATTAAATTATTAGCTAAACTAAGAGTCAGATTATTTAAATAATGTTTACTACCTTAATAGTATCCGGCTATCCTTCTAGGTTAGGTGCTAGTTCTTGAATATCATCGGTAAATATAATGTTAGTATAAAAATACATAATATATAAATGAATACAAAGGTCCTACTCGTTACTACTGCTGATCCACCATGTTAATAAATTCGCTCACAAGTATGAAGGCCAAGTTGGTGCGGCCTTTATTATGGCCACGGTCTCTGTTCATTGTATAGAAGGTTGGGTGGGGGTATGGGGGAACTAGTTGGGATTGTCAATAAGTGTGGCTAAATCCGGTCAAAAGGGCTCGCCTCAGCCAGTCTTAGACAAGCAAGTAGGAAAGTGTGCTAGTGAAGCGGTGTTAAGAGGATAGAGGTTAGGTGAATACACCAGAACAGTGGGAGAGATATCACTACGGTTTAGCAGAAAATTATTTATAGGATTAACTTCACTTGTCCCTTTGACGAGCTGTGT